TTCCTGGAAACTTCAAATAGAAGCCATCCTTGTTGGTCATGGGCTCTTCGAATTCCTTGATGGTTCCCACCCAGCACCCCCACCAACAATTGCCAAAGATCTTGTATTACACCAAACCCAGCCCATGCTACATGGGTTAGACAAGACAAATTGTTGTTCGGTGCCTTTCTCGGCACTCTTGAATCCAAAATTTCTCCTCTCGTCTTCAGAGCCACTACAACTAAGGAGGCATGGGACATTCTAGCACACACTTTTGCTCGCCACACTAGAGGCCATGCCAAGCTACTCAAAGCAAACCTGAAATCCATTACAAAAGGAACACAAAGCATTACGGAGTACATGAATGCTATACGTGTTTGTGCCGACCAACTTGTTGTGCTAGGTGAGCCTTATAAGCTAGATGATTTGATTGAACGGGTGCTCGAGGGCCTTCAAGATTCCAACTATCAATCGGTAATAGATGCAACAAATAATCGTGATACCTTGATTTCTTTTGATGAACTACATGAAAAACTGCTTATCAAAGAGGTTAGTTTACGTACAAATAACACCCCCACCCCGCTACCCGCTTCGGCTCATGCTACCACTACTCGTCACTTTACCTCACATTCCTCACATCCACCATCAAATGATACTCCCAATCGTCCTACTTACCATCAAAATAAGTCTGGACAAAATTATAAGGAAACTCATATCAATGACAAGCCTAATGGGCAAGGGTATAAAGGGAGGTGCCAATGGTGTCATGCTCATGGACACTCACTATACCGATGCCATAGTTTCCAACAAAAATTCCCATCTGCCAAACCTACTCTCCCACCCAATTCTAACCCTCCACCTCCTCCTCAAGCCCATGTCGCCACGGCTACCAATAATGGTGCACCATCCTCTTGGCTCTCGGACACGGGTGCTACTCATCATGTCACACATGACATGTCCAATATTTCCCTTCATCACCCATATGATGGCAATGAGGAGATTGTCATAGGTAATGGAACTGGAGTGTCTATCACTCATATAGGTTCTCTTTATCTTCCCACCAACTCTTCTAAAACTATTCATCTTTCTAATGTTCTATGTGCTCCTAATATGACCCGCAATATTATTTCAATTTTCCAATTGTGTCTAGATAATAATCTTCTCATAGAATTCTCATCCGATTATTTTCTTTTGAAGGACCGACTCACGGGGGCACCTCTTATGAAGGGTCCAACTAAACAAGGAGTTTATGAGTGGCCATCTCGATCAACTATTTTAGCACTCTCTACTATCAAAACCCCGGCAATAAATTGGCATCATAGACTTGGCCATCCATCTTTATCTATAATCAAGCACATTATTTCAGATTTTAATCTTAATGTCTCTAGTTCTTTATCCTTCAATTGTAATGCTTGCCAATGCAATAAAAGTCATAAACTCCCATTTGCTCAATCTGCTTTAGTTTCCCACTCTCCTCTTGACATTGTCTACACTGATTTATGGACCTCTCCGGTTCACTCGCTTGATGGATTCAAATACTACGTCATTTTCATTGATCATTATACCAAGTATATATGGTTTTAACTCCTCAAAAATAAGTCCGACACTAAACCAGTTTTTATTCGTTTCAAAGCCTTAGTTGAGAAATACTTTGATAAATCAATTAAGGTTTTATATTCGGACAATGGGGGGGAATATGAAGCTCTAAAATCCTTCTTAACTATAGATGGAGTATCCCATCTCACATAACCCCCACACACTCCCGAACACAATGGCTTTGCCGAACGACGTCATCGTCACATAGTTGAAACGGGACTATCTCTCTTATCTCATGCACAATTACCACTCTCATTTTGGTCCTATGCTTTTTCAACTGCTTCTTACTTAATAAATAGGCTACCAACTCCAACCCTTTCAAATAAATCCTCGTATCATTGTTTGTTCGGGTCTCTATCCAATTATCTCAAATTGCGTAGTTTTGGTTGTCTATGTTATCCATGGTTAAAACCATACACATCTCATAAATTAGATCCAAAATCAAGACCTTGCATATTTATTGGGTACACAAAAACACAAAGTGCATATCATTGTTTAGATCCAATCACTAATCGTGTTTTTACATCCCGCCATGTTCGATTTATTGAGAATGAATTTCCTCACTCTCAGCTTATAAAAATGCCTTCACCTACTACTACTCCAAGTCCAGACTCTTGGTGTTCAATCTCGTTGCCTATTTTACAAAATCCCATTCACATGCCAATGCATGATCATCAAGATTCTTCTGGCCCAAGTCCACTAACATTAACTCCATCTAATTCAACTCATACCAACTCCCATCCTACACATGTCTCTAGCCCACTTGATACTACCCAACACTCACCCATTACTCCACTGCCCAACACTACTCCAAATAGCCCCACCTCTTCTACCCACTCTATAACTCAAGCCCAATCCATTTCCCCAATACCCACACCGCCCCTACCATCTAATCCTACACCCTCACTTATAGATACTCTACAAAACCCATCTCTACCTCTTTCACCTACCCCTGACACAAACTCAAATAACCAAATAACTACTCAACCAACCCAAGGGATCATCACGAGATCCAAAAACAACATTTTTAAACCCAATAAAAAGTACGTAAACAACACCTCTGTTCATTCTAAGCCGGAGGTACCCCAAAACTATAAAACGGGCTTTACAAGACCCATTATGGAGGAAAGCTATGGAGGAGGAGCTTGCCTCTCTTCATAATCTTGGTACTTGGGATCCAACATCTCCGGATACGGTTCGTAACATTGTCAAGTGTAAGTAGGTTTTCCGCATAAAATACAAAAAGGATGGTTCGATTGAACGATACAAAGCTCGTTTGGTTGCAAAGGGTTTCCAACAACGCCCTGACATTGATTATACAGAGACTTTTAGTCCGGTTGTTAAACCGGCTACTATTCGCACCCTTCTCAGTTTAGCAGTTTCTCAAAATTGGCATCTCCGCCACTCGACATTAATTATGCGTTTTAACAGGGAACACTACATGAAGAGGTTTATATGTCCCAACCTCCGGGCTTTATTGATGCTAATTTTCCAACTAATGTTTGCAGGCTCAAGAAGGCTATATATGGTCTCAAACAAGCCCCACGGGCTTGGTACACTGAGTTAGCAAATTAATTGATTGGTAGAGGGTTCAAACGATGTGTTTCGGATACATCGTTATTTATCTTTCATCATGCTACTACACCTATATACTTTATTGTGTATGTAGATGACATTATTGTAACCGGGCCCAATGCTACTAATTTAAATATGCTTCTCAAAGACTTTGCTAACAGGTTCTCCCTGAAGGATTTAGGTGAACTCTCGTACTTCCTTGGTGTTGAGGTCATGCCTTCTTCTCATGGTCTATTTCTCAGTCAACGACGATATATTATTGATCTTCTTGATCGCATGGGTATGCTTGACACCAAACCGGCACCAACTCCTATGGTCACCACACAACATTTGACCGCCAACTCAGGTGTTGTCTTAGAAGAACTGAAGGATTATAGAGCAGCTGTTGGAGGTCTCCAATATCTTACTCTAACCCAGCCAGATGTTGCATACACAATTAACAAGCTATCACAATTTATGCATCGGCCCACCTCGGATCATTGGTTAGCTCTTAAACGCCTTATGAGATACTTAAGTGGTACACTTGATAATGGGGTTAACATATATCGTGATTCACCACCTACTTTGCATGCCTTTTCCGATGCGGATTGGGCAGGGGATAAGGATGACTACACATCAGCCATGGGTCATGTTATCTTCCTTGGGCGCAATCCTATTACTTGGTGCTCTAAGAAACAAAAGTCACTAGCTCGTTTGTCTACTGAGGCTGAGTATAGGTCCGTTGCCACTACTACTGCTGAGATTATGTGGGTTCAAAATTTACTCACTGAACTAGGTGTTAAGATTACTCACACACCGGTGATTTATTGTGATAATCTTAGTGCCACTTATCTTAGTGTTAATCCCGTTTTCCATTCAAAGATGAAGCATTTGGCAGTTGCATTTTATTTCATCCGTGAGCAGGTACAAAATGGGACATTACGTGTGGTACATGTTTCCACCGGTGATCAGCTCGCTGACTTCCTCACTAAACCATTATCTCGACCCCGACTCGACGTTCTCTTGACCAAGATCGGACTATCTGATAGTCGTCCGTCTTGAGGGGGAATATTGGAGAAGATATCAATCAATGGAGTAAATTGATATAATTTCCTTAGTTATCTTCTCTGTATAATAATATCTTTGACTTGTATCATTGTAATCTTCCTAATTAGTTAGGCATATATTCCTTGCTAGCTGTAAATAATATCCCCTCATAAGGATCTTATTATTTTCCTTAGTTTATTCCCTGCACATATTTAGACTATAGCTTCTAATACTACCTCCGTTAACCATTATCTGCAACTTTGAAGGCCTTCACGGACTCCTAGGCAGAATTTGGTAATCTTGTTTAACAAATTTTAGATTGAGTAATTAAAACAATGAGGAGAGAGAAAGTGGGACATGCCCACATGGGTGTTTTGGCTGGTTTTCCAAATTTTGGTGGGGAACGAATTTCCCTCCCAACTTTTTGGCCAAAATTTCAAAATTTTCTCAAATTTTTTCCCACCAAGGGATACTTCAATTTTTTCTTTCAAATTTCATAGGCTTATAAATAACAACCACCATATTTAATGATCACCACCAATGTCATCCTTCACCATTAATAAAGACCACATTGTGAAAATGTTTCCCAAAAAATTAACTAAGCACTAATTACACATCATTAAACCAAATTATCCCAAAAAACTACCCCTAATCTAAATTAGTGCTACCTACGTTAAGTCATCTTCATCTTTTGTCTTCAACCCTTTGTACAAAATCGTGGCAGCTTCACCAGCACCAAAAAAAGACTTCTGCTACCACCTTTTCTTCTCCCTTTCACTCTGAAATTAAAAAAAAAAAAAAACAGTCAGTGTTTCAAGGAAAAAATGGATGATGCATATGTTATTGATGACCAATTCTATGGAATTGATCAGATGCTTCTGGATGAAGAAGATAATGCATTTCCATTTTCAGAATTTGACTCTGAAAATGAAGAAGAACATAGCCAGCAACAGAGTGAAGACAACAATGATGTATCAAATGCAGGTGAACAATCAGGCACAACATCAAGAAAACAACTAACTTTGGAAAAAAAAAAGAGAAATCATTTATGCAATGTTACTGCTGATGCAAGATGGTCAGTTGCCCAGGGGACTCAAGGCTCAAATGGTAGTAAGATTTCAAGTGCACAAGTCAAAAATCAGCAGAGTATTTGATGATCTAAGCAAGCAGATGTCTCAGGGAAATGTGATTGATGTCAGAAACAATAAGCTGGGGAAAGTAGGTCGCAAACCAATGGAATTCACAGATGAGTTTCTACAATCTGTGCCTTTGTACAAGAGAACAACAGAGAGAAGCTATGCATCAGCTCTAAAGATTTCACATGTAACTATACACAATTTGAAGAAAAGGGGCAGACTAAGGACTCACACAAGCACCAACAGACCAGCACTGACTTTAAACCATAAGGTTGCAAGGTTAAAATGGGCTTTGTCTCATGTTAACCTTATTCCAGTTCAAGGGGAACCAAAATTTGTCTACATGCAAGAGGCTATACATATTGATGAGAAGTGGTTTTGGTTAAATCCAGAAACAAGAAAGTTTTATTTGCTGCCAAAAGAGGAAAACCCATACAGGTGTCAGCAGTCCAGGAGGTTCAAAATCAAAGCCATGTTCATGGTTGTGGTTGGTAAATCCCATTATGATGCTAACAAAAACTTGTTGCATGATGGTAAATTTGGCATTTTCCCTTTTGTCATAAAAAAAGAGCAGTTAAGTCAAGTAAGAATAGAGTTGCAGGAACAATGGAGACCAAGGCAGTAGAGAGTGTAACCAAGGAAGTGACAAGGACAATGTTGCTTGAACATGTAATACCAGCAATCAAAGGCAAGTGGCATCACAGCTTGGCAAAGAATGTATACATACAGTGGGATAATGCTAGACCACACCAGATCCCAGGAGATCCAGAGTTTCAAGAAGCATGCACATCAGATGGGTTCAATATTCAAATGGTTTTTCAACCAGCCCAATCCCCTGATCTGAATGTGCTTGATCTAGGGTTGTTTACCTCCATACAATCCATCCAATATCAATCTTTTCCAACCAACTTAGATGAAATGATTGAAAAGGTGAATGATGCTTATGATCAGTTTGATCCTAAAGTGAACATGAACACATGGATCACTTTGCAACAATGTATGGTTGAGATAATGAAAAAAAATGGAGGCAATAACTACCCCCCACCACATATGGGCAAAAACAGGTTGGAGATTCAAGGCAATCTTCCAGAACAAATAGAGGTCAACAGGGAGATTATTCAACAAGTTGTGGAACATCTCAACACTATGTTCAGGCCAGTGAACTCAGGAGAAGATGAAGACGCACAAATGCAGGTTGATGCTGATTAGAAGGACAAACTGGAACAACAAATGTTGCACACATGGACTGCCACACCTAACCACAATATTTTGTCTAAGCAAACCTAAGTACCCTTTAGGCTGTACATTTATGTTTTTGCTTAACTTTTTGGTGGTTATGTGTATTTTGCTTTGTATGAAGAGAAGATTATGTAGGGCAGTCATGTCATAACAACATTTGAATGTAGAATCAGCTTTTGTAATGGAATTTAATGAATGAACATCAGGCTTTTGTTTAACATAAGGGACTCATGTCTTTTATCAGCCAAGTGTTACATTGCTCAAATGTAAAGATAGGCAACCATATTTCCATCAGATGGTTTTTGTTTTTTTCATCAACACCATATGTTCAAGTGTTTTCCTCAACAACATTTCTTGTTAAAGAAAAGTTGGAGCTAAATACACTCTACACAATAGTGGATCAAATGAGTCCCATCATCATTTGGAAATGACTGACACACAACAACATCAATCCAGGACAACAACATCAACAAAGGGACCCAAACAGAAACCAGCATCAACCACCAACCCCAAACCAGCAAAAAGGGACTCATCAGTTCTCTCAAAAACAGGTCATTGAGAACAAACAAGGCATAGATCACAAAACAACAGCCTCAAACATGTATCATCACTCATCAATCACATTTCCCCTAACATCAAGAAGAACATCATCAACTAAGGAACACAACAACCTTAACATCAACACAGGGGCACAACCAAGCAATTGGCTAAAATCACAAATGGGGGACTCAAATCAACAACATACAGAAAACCCATAACATCATAACAGGGTCTAAATTCACAAATCATGACCACAACATGAGTTAAGTATCAAATCAAACCAGAACCAACATCAGTCAATATCAATTTAAGGCCTAAAAAACAAAGCAATTCACTGGTATAAAAAATTAAGGGTTAGAGGGCGTTACTGAGTGCTTCAATTAGTTGGGGTGAAAAACAACTCCCAATGAATCCGCTGTAGCCTCAACATCAGGGCCTCCAACAGTTGTATTTGCTGCAGATTCAACCCCACCAACACCAGCAAATTCCTAGGCCACCACACCAGTAGGAGGATTCACACCAACAACAAGTTGAATAGGCTCATCATCATCAGAAAGCACAACAACTTCAGAGAGCTTAGCCCCACGAATTATTCTACGAGCAACCAAGGCAGCACGACGCCTAGATCTGATTATGGTAGGGGGTGCCCTAGCAACCTCAGATCTGGGCTTTTTTGGAGCAGAGGAACTTTCACCCTTTCCAGAAGCAGCTTCCTTAGTGAAATCAAGCGCCCTCTTGCCCCGACGCTTGATTTCCTCCCTCCTACCTTCCTCAATGTCATCAATGGACTGGAGGACTTCCCCAAGGGCTTTCCAGGTGTAATCGCCAAGAAACGGACCCCTATCCCCAGATTCGTACATTCGACGAGGCCAAGGAGAATCAGTGTTGAAGGAGTGAATGAGCATCTGAATAATATTACTCTCCTCTTCAACATCAGTTGCAAAAAAGGCATCGTAAAGGGGATCTAGGTTAATCATTTTTAAAGGGACTCGTTTTTTCATAGGAATCAACCCTCAATTTGACAGATTCAAAGAGAGAGAGCACAACTGACAGATATGGGAGATGAACCCAAAAAAGAGGAGAGAGAGTGTGGAAACCCAGAAAAGAGGAGAGAGAGATGAACCGAGAAAGTAGAAGAACAGAGACGGTTGTTGAGAAGATGAACTGGTTTAAATGAAGAACCCTAGAAATTTCTTCCATTTAATGTTTGTTGTTGGTGATATGAATTAATGATGGTAGTTGGGATTATATGGAAAAATTGGTGGGAATGGTTAAGTGAATCTAAAAATCTGATTAAGTAAAGCAATTCAAATTACTAAACATGATTGCTGTCTTAAATTTTTAATCAGGGGCATTTTGGTCTTTTCCATACTTTTTTTTTACTAAAAAAAAACAAAAAAAATGGTTGCACATAATGTTTAGCGGCTAAAAGTGGTAAAAGTTGCAGATAATGGTTAACGGAGGTAGTATATATAGTTGACGTTACTTTTGAATATAATTACCATTCATTCCTTCTTATAGAGACTTCCTTAAGTAGCTTGTCTTCTATCTTCCAACTGGTGTCTTTCTGGTTGCATTGGTCGTTCTGTTTGTTTGGCTGACTGCCTGGCTCCTTTGCCTTACATTGGTTTGCTACTGCTGGTTTACGCCTCTTCCTATTGTACACAGCCCACGGTTGTTGATTCCTCACAGAAGGTCTAAACACTGTCTGGGAGAGAGGCATCCGATTCCTCGAACATGTTAGCCCATGGCCTGGCTGAGATTGGCAGGAGGATGATTGAAGATATTTTGTTCCATTTCTGCTCCCCTCCTGGTCTTAACCAACCCTACATCAAGGAACTTGCTAATTCTTTTTCCATGTTAGATGACAAGTGATCGCATGCCTTCTTTTGCTACTGCTCCTAAGTTCCTGTTGTGGGGCTCCCCTATCAACTATAATTTCTACTTTTCTTTCATGCTTTTATTTTTAGCTAATCTTTACTTTCTGTCTTTCGGTTGGTTAAGGTTTCTTGGTTTGCAATTTTCAGCTAGTAAGCAAACTTGGAAACTGCTTCTGTTTACAAACTCTGATCTGCTAGATGTTTTAACATCTAAGTTGTAATATATTTCCTTTCCTTGTTAAAAAAAAAGAAAAAGAAAAAGTGAGCTAAGGTTTTAGATTGAGGATGTTCATCAATATGCTTTGTTATGTCTGATTTTTCATCTTTTGGTCAAATATCTCTCTGATTTCCGTCAAAAATAAATAAATAAATTATTCACTTATTTGATGACATATGTTGTATGTTGCAGGTCTTTCCCTCGATTTGTACATATTCTTCGGAAGACATTGATGAAATGCGAGATTTGTGGATTAAATATGTTCTTGATTGAAGAAGATTCGTGTTAAATGAGCTTAATGATGAATGAGTTGAGCTTGAGTAAGAGATTAGCTTAGTGTTAATCATTATACTAGTGAATTTAGCTCCACTTTTTAACTTTTTTTTTTTTTAGGAAAAGCTACTTTTGAGTTTTGTTTTTGAATATTAGAATTAATGTAAATTTTGGGTTAAAATCTGTTGGAGAGAATTAGTTTTTGTATTAAAGCTTTTATATTTATATATATGTATGTATATATATATATATATATATATATATATATATATATATATATATTAGCGCGCAGGTACAACAACATATATATTGGCGCCAAAATTTATTGCAGGAATATGAATTGCAAAAGGGCTGGGATATTAGACGAATATAATTATTTAGTTTTTTTAAAAAAAAATAAAAAGCGACCTCAAAGAGACCACCTATTTTAAATAAATGGTCTCATTATTCAAAAAAGAAAGACCACTCATTTAAAATAGGTGGTCTCAGTATTTAAATCCGGCGACCACCTATTTAAAACATTTGGTCTCTTATCCCTCTATATTATTTTTTATTAAACTAAAAAAAGAGACCATCCATTTAGCTAGGTGGTCTAAGGTATTGTAAAGTTAGACCACTTTTAATAAAGTGGTCTCTTTGGCCAAAGAGACCTGTGAGCTAGAGACCACCCCTGAGGTAGTCTCTTTGGCCATTTTGATATGGTCTCTTTGGCCATTTTTGTAGTAGTGTGTAAAAAAGGAAGAGCTAGTAGAGGCCGCACTAAGGCTAGGATAACGATTCCCTTCTAAAAGGAACGTTATTTTTTACCTTCACTCCCAAACTCATTTCTGGTTTATAGACCAATTTGGGCATGGGTAAACTTATGATTCATGCTAATTATTCCATGAACTCCACATGGAAGAAAGGAATGAACGAGGTTTATGAGTTTTTCCTAAAACTCATTGGCGACTCCTACTTGTTTCTTACAAAAAAGCGTAATGATAGAATCAATTCTAATTCAAGGTCCCCCAAACAACCAGGAATTCAAATCCTACTACACCCTAACAAGTGTAAAGTCATAGGCTTTTAAGTGGCCAAGGGAATTTAAGGAGAGTACCCCTTACGATGGGATCACCCTCCTTACAATTACAATCAATACAAGGACAATAAAGGCCTTTGTCACCCAGTTGGCGTTGATAAGATAAAGCTCTCTCGCAAAACTCTTGAACACCATTCCAAAATTCCAATGTATCGCATCTACCATACATCCAACCACGATCCTTCTCCATTTAGTAAATTGTCTCTAAACATATATAGCAACATATAATAAATAATGTGTAATTGCTACATATTTTATGTAAATCAAATACAAGTACACATCGTGAATATACCATTCATATAGTGAAAAAAATGCATGTTTCCAAAGGCTCCTTATAACTCCAACATAACACATCCTTTAATGTCTACTCTCACTACTGAATGTATGTGAACTTTCCAATTTTAAGGAAAATCCGGCAGCATTTCCACCTAGTTATCCAAGTACACGATGTAGATAATTAATTACCCACATATGTACCCAGAGAACATAGTGAGGAAATGGTAAGCCAAGATGTTCCTTAAATTCGAAATGAAGACATACATTCACCACCTAAGTGAGAGTACACATTCAAGCACAGTCCCAACCGGGGACTATTCAAGACTTTCTCCTAATGAGAAAGCCTTGAACGGGTATCTAAGCATATGATGATGCAAGAATTCTATATATTATTGTATTTATTTGCAATTAAACAATACACAAGTTGCAATATCATGAATAAACTTTTATTAAATGGATAAATAGAAAGAAATATAGCTTAGTAAAGTTTATAATTCATACCAATATAGCAAGTACAATGGATGTACACTTATGAACTACCCACTTGAGCTCAATATGTAGTCCTCAAGCTAAACACGTGATTCACATATGAATCTAAAAAAAAAATTAGCAACGTCACTAATTCTCTAATTTATTCACAATTATCTAATGTATTCCCAATTCTCTAATGTATTCACAATTCTCTAATTTATTCACAACTAAGTAG